CATAGGATGTATAATAAGCTCGGGGGAATGCACATAGATGAAGGTGGCTCCAGAAGTCGGGGTAGTAATCACAAACGTATCAAGCTAAGTTTTGGAAGAGCAGTGAAAGTGGGAAGGAGGCAAGATGAGCAACTACAGGAAAATTTTTATTCAGAAAGGCAAATCGAAATAGGCCACTAAACTAATTGAGAAAGTAATCACTGATGATAATAAAACAGTGTGGACATACACGAATCTAATTAGACTGTTTGAGCTAGAGCTTGCTAAGGCACGTTACAAGTCACCCCAGAAAAGAAGACACAAACCCAAGAGTTGGTGGGTTGAGGAAGTTGAGATAGCCATAGCAAAACGTCAGGAAGCCTCTAGGGAACACAGACATGCTAAGCAGCGGAGTGAACCGACAGATGATGTTGAAAGAAAATGGGAAATCTTTCTAAGCTGTAGAAGAGATGCATCCCTTCTGATCAATGAAAAGATTAGAAGAAAGGGACCTCAGTGGCAGGCAGAAGTACATAAACAAGATACCAAGGCAGCTGCGAAATTTTGGAACCATCTAAACTCCCTAAGAAACGAGACGAGCCTAGAGCAGAGGTTTATAACTACAGCTCAAAGTGCTAGGCTAGAAGGGGACGAAGCTATTGAATATATAAGAACAAGGGTGACAGAAAAATTTCAACCAAGAAGTGCTTTATGCACCACATTAGACAAGGATGAATCAAGTGGCGCAATAGCTCCATTTTCACAACATGAGTGGGAAAGGGCTGAGAAGAGGGTTCCTAGTAGTACATCAACAGGCCCAGATGGCATTCTAATTATGCTGATAAAGACATTATGTCCGAAGTCTAACCAGACTTTGAGAGAGGCAGTGAGCAAGATTATAATCGATGGCGAAGTCCCCGATGGATGGAAACTTAGCAGGATGGGCATGATCTATAAAGGAAAGGGGGACAAAGCTGACATAAACAACTACCGTCCTATAACAGTGACATCAGTGGTCTGCAGGCTAGCGATCAGATTATAAAGGAAAGACTGCAGGCATAATAGAGGATGAGAGGGTGCTGGGGGAACTACAGAATGGGTTTCGGAAACAACGAAGATTGGAAGACAATCTGTTCTCACTGACGCAGAGCAACAAAATAGTAGAAAAGGAACACAGGCCCCTGTGGCTAGAATTTTTGCATATCAAGGGAGCATACGATAGCGTGGTTCAAGAGGAGGACAACAAGGAACATTTGCAGAGATTGATGGACATCTGCACTAATGATTTTTAATGATAATGAAGGTAGTGAGCTTAGAATACAGGAGGTCACGCTAGCGATAACAGATAAATACAAATATCTGGGCGTATGCATAAACAGTGGAGCCGAGTACCTAAGGGAACATGAAATATACGTGAAGACTAAAGGTAACAGGAATGCAGCGGTGATGAAAAACAGGGCACTGTGGAATTACAATAGGCATGAGGTTGCGAGAGAAACATGGAAAGAGGTCATGGTTCTTGGTCTGACTTTCGGCAATGCGGTCTTCTGCATGAGATCAGAAGTTCAAGCAAGATTAGAAATTAAGCAATGTGGAATAGGTAGGCTTGCCTTAGGAGCTCACGGGAATACACCAAATCAGGGAGTACAAGGTGATATGGGATGGACATCCATTGAGGGCAGGGAAGCTAGCAGCAAGATAAAATTTGAGAAGTAATTGAGAGAAATTAGGGAGGAGCATTGAGCTAGGAAGGTATTCAGCTACTTGTACATGAAGAATGTCGATACAAATGGAGGGAGCGAACCAGAAAATTGACTGGTAAATACTTAGAAAACAGCAGGGGGCCAAACCAAAAAGAATTATCGGTTAAGAAGAAGGTGAAGGAAGCCGAGACCGATATGTGGAGAATCGGCATGATTAAGAAGTCCGCACTAGAGATCTATCGGACTTTTAAACAGGAAATTGCCAAGGAAAGTATCTATGTTAATACTCGGGGTAGTTCTCTACTGTTTGAGGCCAGGAAGGGAGTATTGCGAACCAAGACATATCGGACCAAATACGAAGGGGTAGACACGGTATGCAGTGCATGTGGAGAGGAAGAAACTGCCCAACACTTGATAATGTTCTGTAAAGGGCTTCACCCTATAGTTCAGAATGATGGCGCAGAGTTTTTCAAAGCACTGGGGTTTAGGGACAGGGAGGGCAAAACAGACTTTAAGCGGGTAGAATTAACTAGAAGGAGGTTATTTGATTGGTGGCTATACTCAAGGCATGAGTGAAAATAAACCCTTCACTGTAAAGTACGAGACCTCAACCTCACTATTTAAAAGAAAAAAAAAATAAATCTAGTTTTTGGTTCACTAAGTATTACGGCTTGATGAAGTTAGCCACCGCCCGATCTAAATAGTACAGCCGTATCAATCCATCCATCCTTGGAAATATTCTTTGATGGCGCTAGTGGTTTTCGCACAATTCACGATTTTATGTGGTTGACGAACAGACAGACAAACGAACGATTTCCTACAGCTGCCAAACGGATGGACGCTTCGCCCCAATCATCATTCACTGCGTATATGTTGTGAATTTTTTATAGCGTGTGGTTGTGGATACGCAAGCCTTTTGCCGACACTGGCGCCAAATGACTGCTGATTTTCCATTCACAGACCTGTTCACTTCACACGTTTACCCCACCGTGCCGAGGTCCAGTGGAATGCCTCTGCGAGAAGGACGCCATTGCTTGGTTTTAATTTTTGAATATGATCCGAAGTTCTGTTTTCTTGGGGTCTTGACCAGCGGGGAACGAGAGGTGGGGCGCAGTGATGGAACTTGCAGCAGCACCCCCCCCACACACACTCCCTTCTCGCGCAGCACTTTAGGCGCCAGGGCTGTCGTATGCTGTCATCACCTGTCTTAACGCAGGCAAAACCACGCACAAAAATAGAAAAGATAAAGCAAGCTAGAAGTAGAAAGGAAAAAACAAAAAACATAAATTAATTAAAATAAAGAAAGCGAACATTCAGCAAATCACATTTACCTTGGGAATCGATGGTATGCGAAACATGCAGTTGTAGGTGAACCTGTTTAAATTTTTTTTATTGAGTGGGCCGTTATCAACTGGCCCTCAATATATGTACAAATTCCAGCACACACATACATTGAACAGCTGCATATGCTATATATTAACAGTTCATTGCAGTTGCGTAACGTTGCCAACGGCAACATGGATATTAGCAATACTACAAGCAACTAGCTGATGTGAAGCGCTGGGGCTTACGACGATAATAGCCCTCAACACTGCTACACAAATCAACCTCAGTGCCATCTACACAAATCAACCTCAGCAGATGATGCATAACTACAACTGACATTAACCAGACATGACTGTATCATAGGTGTACATATGCAATGCTTATAAATTTTGAGTCAGTACTGCAAGCAGAATTGACGTTTGACGAACATTAGGGTCCATTTGCAAAGAACTTCAGAGACCTGGCATGGCTCTGTGGTAGAATATTTCATTGCCACGCAATATGCTAGGGTTAGACTCCTGCTGGGATACTGACATTTATAATTATTTGCTTTCGTCTGGTCAGCGTTGCGTATGTCAGCTTTCTCTTAACCCTCAAGCATTAAAATTATCCTTGTGCGTTCTCACCATTCCTGGGTAGTTTTAAAATGTTTATCACCTGCGGCACTTACCTGCATACCAGTGACACATACCCGGCGCCGGGTATGTTAGAGGGGATAGATCGGAGCGGAATTCTTTCTCTCGTATAGAGATCTCTGAGCTAACACTTTCTTTCCCATTCCCTTACATTATCACTGAATGCACTCGAAAGCTCCACCTCACAGTCGTGCAATGCTACTACACCTGGTGCAAAGCTCTGGTTGTGCATTTTTCTGCCAATAGTTGTTTTCTGGACAAGTGGTCGAGCTGACAGTAAAGCCCTTTACTGGTAAATCAGAAATGTGTACCATCTTTTTTCTCAGCAATTCTATTCGGCACGAGGACATACTGTGGCGCCACCATGTGGAGCATCCCTGCGACGTGCAAAAATGGATTGCTTTGTTCAGTCCTCTAGGGAATGGCCCGCTTTTAAGTAGTTAGCATCCAAGAAGCTGTGGTGCGCGGCTGGTTTCGTTAGTGCACCCAAGAGTAGATGACGGATAGTCTTTGTGGCACTCTCTGTAGATGGGACTCAACATTTTGAGTATCTGCTGTTGCAACTGGGCAAAAGGACAGAAATGAATATGCCAGCAAGGACATTAACTTGTGTTTGACTGCACCTTCATTTATGTTCTTGTCTAAAGTGTTATTCTACATTTCGGATTCCACAAAACTGGCGCATCTTTGTTGCTGCAATTATCGTATGCCCTGAAGCTGTACAGGTTTCCCTGTCACAAGAGATGAAAAATGTATTGCGGGCTTCGATTCAGGAACAAGCAACACTCAGTGGCAGAAGCCTGCATGAAAAAAAAAAAACATGAAACAACTTGTAAAAGCAATGAAACATTTTATTCATTGTCAGCTTCAACAAGTACCATTTCTAGCACGACAGCTAAACAGTGATTGGCTAAGTTTCACCCATCACCGCTCAAACCAATTGAATATGAGTGGCACTTGCTCCATGTAAGGGATCTGCACCATGGCTACATTAAACACTTCGCATATCTTCTGAGCAACGGTACTGGGCAGAATGACTTGTGCACTGAATGTAGCAGCATAACTTAACGAAAACCAAAAGCCTGAAAGCACTCTGCCGTAGCAATATATGAGGATGCTCTCCTTAGAAATGCGTCAGCAGGTGCATACGAAGTAATGCAACAACACTGTGAGTGAGCAAATAAATGCTGAGAGTACGAGCGAAATGCCCAAGTCCTCTTGGTTCGGTTCGCTTTGAAAAAGTTGAAACCATATGGAAGCCCTTTAAACACGCTGCTTGCTCTTACATTCACCGATCACTGCTTGTACAGGCATTGAAAAGTATGCAAACACAGACTGCAAACTATCTTTTTCATACGTGCAAGGATACACATCTGCTAAGTTTTCTGTAAAAAAGACTCCAAACCTTTTCATTGCTTTCCAGTCCCTAAGCACTGCTGATAAAGTTTGGCACCACGCTGGACATGTGAAGGTTCGTAGCCACTGCTGCACCGACTGACTTGACGTAACCACATAAAAAACTCTCGCTACGAATGGTGGCTAGGGCAACTCAGCCCACAGCCTGGTGCGGTTGTTGCCATCGCAGACGTTGCATTCCCCAGGACCATGCCGCCCTGAGGAGCAGGCTGGCGCAGATGCACTCCAGCACAATAAAACAGACTAGGAAGGGGCTGTAGTCCCAAGTGTAGCCAAAGAACACCGCGGCACACAAGTAGACGAGGTACTGCTTTTTAGCCAACGATCGTAGGCGGACGCGGGCGGGCAGCTCGTGCTGCCGGTACGTGTACGGTACGCCGACACCCCTCTTGATGACCTCAGTGTAGACAGCCGGTGGCTGCAGCAGTAGACGCGCCACATGGCCAACAAAATGGGGGCTGCTGTACAGGAATTGCAGCTGGGGTCCATACTGCATAAGAACAAAAAAACAAAAGTCAGCCTGCTCCTTAGCGGACACTGATGAAACCGCAAACCTGATGGCGTGCAGTGGAGCTTGAATGAAGTAGAATGAAGTAGGTTGAATGAAGTGGGGATAAAGCAAGAACGGTACGGCATAAACTTGGTGACTGAAGTGGGAGGAGTGGGGGAAGCAGTAATGGGTGCAGCGGTGAGTTGTACGAGTAGTGGGAGCTGTGACATATCTCGACAGTGGGATTTACCCATTTTCTGTGGGTGAATCCCAAGATCTAAGAATGTCCTCACAAATGAAAGCCTCGACCAGAAGCTTCATTCTTAAAGAGATACACAAACATACAATGCCATGTCGGAATCCCACTGATACAACCAGTTCAAGTTAGTGAAAAATGGCAGAAGTAATGGGCATCAGCGTGGTCACCTGTATTCGACGGCCCTAAATATGATTGTCAGGAATATACTATGCAAAGTAGTTCAACATCCTAACAGGAGAGACCCAGTTCCAAGCAATGATGTGGGTGGTGTCCAGCAGGCTTCAATCAGAAGTGTTACAATAGAGCTCTTGAAAAAATTTCGAAGGCCATATCACATCAAGGCACCAATAGAAACAGAGCCTATGCCGTGATACATGCCAAAGTTCTCCAAAGTGAATCCCCTGCGAACGTGCCCACCGAGACAATGTAGCTTCCACGCAAGATCATGAAAGATATACAATTCAGCTGCGAGACGGTACATACAGGAATGTTCTTGTACTTTCTTAATAAGCATTCTTAATTAGCTCGTCATAATGTAGTGCTGTCAGTTAGTCAGTCTCTCTTGGAAGCACATGCTTCTTCGGACACTGAAGGAAAGTACGTTCATAATTTGGTCAGGACACCCTACATAGTGCATGGTGATGTTGCGAGGCCTAGCTCTTCCCCAAATCCATCTGCTTCCTTTTTGGATCTTTGCTAACTTTTCGTAGGATTTCCAGCTTCAGGTTACAAGAGCTCTCACTTGTGGGGCATGGCTTACTTTGAAGTGGCAAGCAGGTCTGAACAAAACAACAGGACTCCAAAGGGCAGCAGCATGAGCCTAGTGCTACGCAGAGAGGGAAACAAACACAAGCCAATCTGTTTGTATCGGCGAGGCCGAGTGAGTTTGTATAAAACAATGTGGGATAAAAAATGGTTTCACAATGACCATACTCTGGAATTTTGTTGACTAATGAGTCTTCGCCAGGATTACAGAAAAATTCGTATCACCCCAAAATTCATTGAGCCGTGATTATGATACAGACTATAATCCAGCTGGTCGAAGTTTGGCAGAGCAATCCTATCACTACCACTGACCTGAGACACGACGACACTCAATGCACACAAAAAACAAATGATGAGCCTTAACAGCACTAATCTAATGGAACAGATACTCAGCTCCTTCCCACCTCAACTGACCTCTCGCTAGCACACTGGACAATGAATGGTAGGAGAGCAATGAGGAGGGCTGTACTCTTCATCTGAGGGAACAGCTATGCCAGCCCAGTTGTTTGTACCAATGATTTGCATGTTTTAGGCTTATGTGAATATTCAAACGAACATTACAGTATTCCAAAGGAACGAATGGGTGTATATTTGTTTGCATGTAACCTTCTGTAAAAGTCGTTTCACTGCAGAGGAGGTTCCTTTAACCTTGAAACATTCCTTTAAGCTTGAAGCCAGGCTTCATGGCAGGGCAGATTTCCCCTAGATTGGAGGATTCACGAATTAACACTCCTATTCCACAGTGAAACGACTTTACACTTATTTGTTCATTTAGAATTTTTCAATATTTACAATATTTCAAATTGGAATAAAAAAAATTTGGATACTGTAATAATTGTTCGGATATTCGAAGCACTTGAATATTCACACAAGTGCAGAAAAAAATGCAACAGCCAGGAAAAGGCTTAAGTGAGGAAATTCAGGGTGAATGAAAACGGAGTCGCTTTGACTTGAAACAATTTCTTTGAGCAAAGTGAGTCTAAGACTTGAAGAGAAAAAATGCCACCCATATCTTCCCTCTGGGGAACTCTAGTAAATGCGTCGCAGAGTGATGGGGGTATCGCATGAATGTTGTGTAATTGGGTATGGTTGGGGAATGCTTAATTGTTATTTCGTTTCTATTATTCTTATTGAATGAAGGAGAAGGGTTGCCTTCATGAGTGGTGGGACGCTGATGTGCGATCGAGAGCCTACATATATGGAGTGGCCAGTGAACGGTGCGCAGCCTGAGCAGTCGGCTTTTACTCGCAGACTCTGCCTGCAATGGCCTTGCGAGACGAGAGAGGGGGGAGGAAACAGTTGGCAGGATATGCAAGCATGGGGCACAATACACAAGGCACGAGCATGCGTAGTGGGGGTGTGGACATCGCTGCCGATGCGTGACATTGTGCGACTAAGAAATGCTCTACATTTAAAATTGAGTATAGTACCGTAATTACTCGAATCTAACGCGCACCTTTTTTCCGGTTAAGCTAGTTCATAAATCGCATGCGCGTTAGTATCGAGTACGAACAAAAAAATTACGGCCAATCTATTGCCATCGGCAAATCTAAAATGGCCGCCCCCTACGTGCGTCGGCATGGCGCGTCGTCCATTTCTGCCTATGTGTTTCTCATGTGCGGCACTTCGTACGTGTGCTGAGGAGTTCGTCATCTAGTAGTGCATTAGCATCGACGGCGTGGAATGGCCGACTCCAAAAACTCGAGTGCACCACGATGCCGCTTTTAAAAGAAAAGTCATCGCGTGTGCAGAAACGGACGGAAATCGGGCCGCATCGCGGTCGTTCGGAGTTCCCGAAACGTGCGTGCGGGACCGGCGGAAACAAAAGCAGAAGATTTTCGACAGCAAAGCTTTACGCAAAGACTTCAGTGGACCACACCAGGGTCGGTTTCCGCAAATTAAAGAGCTGCTCGGCGAGTATGTGCTTTGGCAGCGAGCAGCACAGCGGCCCGTGACGGCAGAACTGCTCCAAGTGCGGACTTTGCAATTAGTCTTAGAAAAATGTCTAATGCGGAGCCAGTTTAAAGCGAGCAGGTGCTGGCTAACTAACTTTATGAAGAGGAAAGGCTTTTCCCTCCAAAGGGGAACATGCATATGCGAAAAGTTTTGCGGAGGAGTACGATGAAAAGCTTCACAGTTTTCAGAGGTTCGTCCTAAACTTGCGGCGCAACAACGACTACCTGCTTGGGCAAATCGGGAATGCCGATCAGACGCCTCTTTACTTCGACATGCCTGGCACCACAACCGTCGAGAAGAAGGGGGCGAAGCAAGTTCGCGTGCTGACATCGGTCCGCGGTAAAACTACAGTGACGGCAATGCTCTGTTACACGTCAGATGGGCACAAGCTTCGCCCGTACCTCATATTTAAATGGAAGACGCTCCCGAAAGGAGTAGTTTTTTCGAGTGGTGTGATCATGCGGGCCAGCGAAAAAAATTGGTGCACGTTGCAATCGATGTCTTACTTTTTTTTTTTTTTCGCTGTGGAAATCGGGTGCGCGTTACAATCGAGGGCGCGGTAGAATCGAGTAAATACGAAGTAGACTGCCTACTTTTTCGCTGAGTGGAAAGCACCACAGAAAAAAGAAAGAAAGAAAGCACCGCATTTTTCAATAACTTGAAAGGCTGCACTGCTGTCAGCGTGCAGCAGTGCTTGCATAAGAAGGCTGACTGTCATGTACTTTTGTCATTCTGTAGTGAAACTTGTGTTGTCAGCACAGGGATGACGGTGATAGCACTTTTCACAGATGGCAATCTAGTGGTGGCCTCTCCAACTCACCTGCAGCTCTTTGCAGCCAGTTCTGTAGCCAAGCCAAGCTAAGACTGTCAATAGTCAAATTAAACTGGCGGTACCCTGCTGGGTTCGGTGAGCCAGGTTGTGACGCATCATGTCAGAAGGCACCACAGTTGCTGCGTAACAGCGAGATTTGCAATACATGGGATCCTATGGGAACTATGTTGGGACTAATTAAGGGGGAAGATTCATTTTAGACACTTTTTCTTTATTTATTCAGTGATCTTGATGAAACTGCACGGGCCTGTGCAGTTTTTTCTGCTCATTTCAAATGTGTAATTACTTTTCCTGTAACTCATCTCATTCCTAAGATAATGCAAGTTTAACCCCCATTGTTTAAGGCCTCATTAGAAAAAAGTGCCTAATTAAAAGCAACATTTAAGATATGGCAACATAGAATAATGATTGAAGATTGAAATAATGGAAATAGTTTATTTTATTTGGCTTTTCAGTTATATTAAGGCAGATTGAATTTTACACTTTGAAAAAGCAGTTGGTATGCTATTACAAATTTGATAAGTAATTAATTGAAAGGCTTGTTTTCTAAATTCCATTTCCATACTGGCATTCTACACACGTACAGGCTTCTATTGCAAAAGGAATTATTGCTCTAGCTGCCATAACCTCACTGGTACTTAGCACTGCGGTGGCACTCCTTTAGTGCTTGCTTTTCGCTCGAAGCACGCTGGCAGTTTGTGTCAGCCACTAGTCACCTGTCCTCCTCGGTCATTCATCTGAAGCTTAGGAGGTTGGGGTTGAGATTTCGTCGAGGATGCCTCTTGACAGTTCTGAAGCTGTTGCCATTGAATTTCATTACTGCTTTCGCAACTGCAGCTTCAACCGCAAACAGTGAAGCATGGCGCTGCTTAGATGCCAAAGCCTAGATCATAGAATGAAGGCTTTTATTGCTATTCTGGGTTTTACCTCCTTCGCACCTTTCTAGAAGTACTTTAACAGACAGGCGCTCATATACTGGCAGAAGAGCCTTGCACACATGTTGAGGCAAATTGTAATGGTGCCTCGGAGCTGGCTTCCCTTTGGCAACAGCTATGTTCTGCCGGCACCAAGAGTCTGGGCCTGTGGGACACAGGCTGTGATTCAACTCACTATCATTATTAGTGATGTGATAGTAAGTCGCCATCACAGCTCTCTGCATGCCGTCAACATCTCCTTTGTGAGATTTAAGCGCCCAGCCGTATTAAGAACTCAACCTTGTGATGATGTCACCAATGAGCATTCCCCTTCCCCCAAGGGTTTCATAGGCACCTCCTTTTTGTCTTCCTACTAAATTGCCTAGCACAGTGCCCATACGCTTTTGGACGTGACAAAAACAGTCCTCTTTTTGTCCTTTTGTGAAGCTGTAGACATCCGCTTCGTGCAAGGCTAGAAAGGTGCGGCTGTCACTATCTGACAAGATTGTTGTGTACTTCAGGCCATTCTTTTCAGGGACCTCTCAAAAAGAGCACAGCTGCCTGAACTTCCATTTCGCCAGCTTTTTTTGTACTATTTTTTTTTGGCACACGTGGCTGTCTTGCCAAGCCTGATATGCCGGATCACCGTCCTTCGGTCGACGCTCACACCCGGCGCGACTGCAATACTGTCGAGACTGCAATACTGTCGGCAAAGTCACTATGCAGCTCCTTGTACAGCTCGTGAATTGCACTCGCGAACTGTACTTGCTCACTCGCCCATCACTTTTTCGGCTATGCGATTAGCTGCAGGTGTAAATTTCTGCTTCACATATCCCTGCCACGTTTCCTTGTGAAGTCGGCGATGAGATATATTCATGGTCGAAAATATGTCATTAATGGCCGCTTGACGGTTCCCAGTAGCCTGCATGGCACGAGTGGCGAGAATATTGACAATGAACGAATTCACTTTCCGAGCGCTATCCACTCGTGAAAGCTCTACACATGCGCGATGTCACCACAGTTCAGGCAAAGTGCACACATTTTCACGGCAAGGCCGTATTGCCTGTCCTGTCTGTAAATACCGACGCTTCCGTTGCAAATTTAACATTTCATGGCATCGAGCAGTTGACCGATGCAGCCAAGACCGGCGATCAAAAAACTTGCCTCCTCTTCGCTTGGCTCCGGGGGAGCGGCGCCGGCCGATGCGTCATTCTTCAAAAACTCAAATTTTCTCTTCGACACGGCCAGTCTATGCCAGTTCCTACAGCCTTGAATTGGCTTTTGCGCACCGTACCCGCAGCTCCGATTTCGTTAGCAAGGCTGTGTCACGGCGGAGGCGGCCGCTGCTATGCGAAGCGTCGATGGCCAGCGGACCCACTGGTCCTAACTCCCCGTCGACTGTCTTGGGTGCCTCAGCGATTCCTTCGCTGTCGGCGGGGTCGTGGAGTCTCGATGTGCGCAATGTTCATCTGCACGTTGCAATGATGGATGTGCCGGCGATGCGTCAGGTTTGGGAACGTCGCAGGCTGGCAAGCCGTCAGGCTGGCATCGGCGGGTGAACCATCCCATTCTTTGTTGATGCTACTTGCCAAGAGACGTGCCTTGAAGTTGTTCGCCTGAGCCTTTTTTTCTTTTTTTTTACCGAACTTATGACAGGTATAAAACTTTTGCGATGATCCAGGCATTGCAACAACTTCAATCAGAGCACGCTAGTCAAAGCACAGGCGGTGTGGCGGCAAAACAAGTTGTTCGCACGTTGACGCACCGAGCAGACAATGAGAGTCCAATCAACCAATGAAGTGGCCACCTTGTGGTCACGTGCACTTAACTAATAGCGTCACATATTTAGATTTTTTTTCGGTTGCTCTTTTCAGCAACCAGGCTGTTTGAGCGGAAACTGAAGATGAAGAAATGCGCTTTCGAACAAGACCTAGATCGTGGCTATGGCGTTGGGCAAATGGTAGCTCTGCGTCGCGAAAGAAGTGTTTTTCGTCAGATTCTGTGCAAGCTCGCGAGTCCTCTTTGTAATGATATAATGAGTAAATTATCACTTTCTGGAGTCTGAAAATTGGCAGGCACGTGTAAAAATGCTTGCAGAATTTAAAAAGGCCATTAAAAAAAAAGTGTTTTTCGCGATTTTTAGGTCCCAAAGATCCATCTGCCCCCTTTAATACAAGCTAGCAGCCGAAAATACGCATCAGTGGGGAATGTAATAGCAGTGTTCTACTCAAATAAAGCACTTACCAATATGCTATTTCCTTTTGAAACTATTCTACATAGGCGTGCACATAAGAGACATTTAGGCTACGTTCACACTGGGCCTTGAAGAAACTGAAAGCGATAAAACTCACTGAAAATTCACTCGCTTCGCCGCCTAAGAGTCCTGAAGACTACGCTGCGAGGCCGGAACGAAAAAAATCGGCCCAAGACCCACTTTTCCGCCACGCGAAAGCATATACGCTTTCCGCTAGCTCAAATTCTGCGATCTAACTAGCCGGCCGCAGATTCAACACGGTGGCAAAGGCGTTTCATCAGTTCAAATCGCATCGGCTCCCATTGGCTCAAATTCCAAACTACCCATACAGCATGACGAAGCTTGACAGCCTAAAAGAGGACACATTCATTGAGAGCCTGGTTTAAACTATGATCACCGAGAACACTGGAAGTAGATCGTGCAGCGGCCGAGTGTCGGCATGCCCCAACGTGCTTCGCCTGCTTGTGTACAGCCAGCCGAATACGCCGCGGCCACTGCCAGTGCATTCGCTCGTGTCGTTTCTGCTCGCGCATCTCCCGAAACAACGTTTGAAAAGGTGCAAGCTGTTTCTTTTAAGTACTTTGCGTGATTAACTAGAATTCGGTACGAAATTTAGTGCGTGATTTAGCAGGCTTCTGAATGGCTGGCTCTTTCATTTTCTGCCCATGTGGTAATGGCACGTGAAACATTTTTTTCGCAGGCTGGTCCATGAAATGCCTGCCAAACTTCCTCGTCAGGGCCCATATCCTTGTGTCTACTGCATGTCAGGCAGAAATTTGGTATGACCTCAAAGTCCAAGCATAGGCTAGTATCTAAGGAGATAGCTGTGCCAATACCATTGTGGCTTTTGTGGCCCCTCTTCTGCCAAGTCCCATCGAACATAACAGCCACATCATCTTTGCCTGCTGCTTTTTTTGTCAGCTGTCTCGATTGGAGCAAGTTTTCACTCGCAGCTTCCATGGCACCGGTGTGCACTTTCCTGGCTATTGAAAAAAATCCTCGTTCGTGTATTGGCTATGCGAGTCTAATGATGGAGCAAAATTTCGGCAGTTGCTCATGCTCGATGCCGACATCGCGTGCAGCCCCCACCGCCTTCACATTTACGGCGAAACTATCTCGGGAGCTCCCCTTGTCGTACCTTTGGCTTGCCTGGCTACTGCCGTTCGCCGTAACACGCGGCGACGTATAAGAGCACGAAACTACAGTCACTAAGCATTCGCCGTTTTCACAATGAAGTTCGAGGAGCGACGAAAGTCCCTTGCGCTTTTCTGCCGGCTCCGGAACTGGCAAGTTATTTATTACCGCAAACTTGGCACGCCGCACCCGCCACAAGTGCCGTCAGCAAGAGTGTGTTGCACAACACAGTCGTAGCACAAACCTCACCGCACGGTCTTTTATCTTTATCGAAGAAGCCTATCTTTTTTCCGAGGCACTGACAAAAGAAAGCGCAGCGTCGATCCCTTCATCCCAGCCACTGTTGCTCGCGCACTCGTCGATGCCGCCGCTAGGCCTAGCGCACGTAGACTGGTTCTCTTTTATTGCCGTCGTTCGATGCGCTTTGCGCCGCTTTCCCTTGAACTTGTGCTTCATTCAAAACTTCTGTGGTCTCTCATTGCGCTTTTTTGGACTTGTCATTGCAGAAATATGCGTAGACGCGCAGATAAGCAGACGGACCAAATGCCGATGGCCGTCGCCGTACCGCCAACACTCACTCGGTAGCCAATAACGATGCGGCTGACAGTGCCGGGCGTTTCAAACCGCTCAAACCTCGTGGTAAGAAAGCTTTGTTTTTTTTATATATTTTCTTGCTCACGTACGAAACTGTCAGTTATGGGAGCTGTAAGAAGAAGGCTGAACGCAACTTTCCCAGCTGGTCGCTATGCCGGGCGGCGTTGCAACGGGGTGCAGCCCGCATTCAAAGGTGGCCAATATTAGCAGAAATTCGCGAAATTTAGAGCCACAGCGACGCCTTCATACACATTATTTTGCATTTTCCTATGGGACTTTTGTTTTGAAAGTTTCACAGATGATAGAAGAAGGGTTGAGGATTACATTTCAGTAAAAACCAGAAATATGAGAAATTTGGCTAAAAACGCCATTTTTCGACTCGTATCTCCCCTTAACCCGTAAAGCAGTTGACTAAAAGTAGGTCACTGTGGGAAGCACATATTTGCTTCATTATCATTGATAATCCATAGCAAAGCTTCTTTTCTTTGAGACGTGACCAATGGTGGGAATACGGAGGCACTATGATGCCATTCAATAATTTGCTTTGAACCAAGAAAGTTACATTCACACATGCCTACGCACAAAAAACACACACAGTAGCAAGCTACTTAACACTGCAGCAGCATGATGACTGTTGGAGTTTAATGTCCCAAAACCACGATACAATCGTGAGGGATGCCGTAATGAAGGGCTCTGAAATTTTCAACCACCTTGGGTACATTACCGCGCACCTAAAACTACGTACATGGGCCTCAAGCATTTCCACTTCTATCGAAAATGCAGCCCCTGCAGCCAGGATTCGAACAGCGACCTTCAGATCAGAAGTCGAGCGCCTTGACTACCAGACCATCATAGTGGTTAAGTGCAGCAGCAGCAGTGTACAGCACTGAGGTGCCCTCACCTTGTCGTTGATGGCAGTAGACAGAAGATGGAGCAGGCGCACGAGGAAGACCACCTCGTAGCTACGAATTGGTTCCCTATCAGGATTTCCCTGGTACTTGTGTGCTTTGGTGTTGTCTAGGCACTGCTGGAAGCCATTACGGCCCATGGTGGAGTCGGTGACATCACGCGAAGACGCAAACAACGACAATGGCTCGTGCCCGTTCAGGGCCAAAGAAGACAGCTCGATATCCTTGTTCAGCTGCAAAAAGCCAGAAGCAAGCACATTTACACAACTGAAACTGCACGTAGTGAAGCCCCTGGAATTAGCTTATTATTTAAGAAACGATTACAGGCAATGGCACTTTTTTTCGTGGTACCACAATCTCACGGAACTGAAATGGCACAAATACACTAAAACTGAAATGGCACTAATACAGCTAAACCTCAATTAAATGAACTTTGTAAGATTGTTAGTCTTACTTCATATTAGTATTTGTGCCATTACGTGAAGTATACTCACTGACCTGTTAATTTTTTTTTTCTCCACAAGGAACATTTCACGATACATGTACTTAAAGTAAGACAGGGTGAAGAAAAATTAGCAGTGCTCGCACCAAGTCAAGCAAGGCAAGGTCAAAGCAGGGCTACAGGGCGCGTAGCAGATTCTCATTTGGTGAGGCTTTTAACCTCTCACCTGACTTGCCTATGCTTCTTTAAATTTTTTTTTATAGAGGTGAAGCTCCTTACACTGTGGCTCAGTCCATTTTCCTCCGTAACCACCCTTTACTTCTCACAATGTTCACTATATGGCACTGCACTGTTGCAGTATGTGAAGTGCAGTGATGCCACTGAGGTCTCCCGATTTAGAGCAACTAAATCGGGAGACCTAGGAAACTGCAAATTTCATGGAGCCAGTCATCTTAGGAGCACTACTTCAGTTGATGGAAGAATAGTCGCACCATGCACCTTGATCTGAGGGGTGGGGCAGGCAAAAGGCCAATGTGCGCTATATATACCATGGCAAAAAACTTTTCGGAGGTGGGGGGATGCTTGTTCCCGATGTGCCCCCTCCTACCCTATCTGCGCCATTGGCTGTCATGTTTTGTGTATAATGTCCAAATCGATAGCATCCCCCGGCGCATCGTGCGCTTAACACACAGGTAAAAGCGCATGAGCGGTGGCGACGAACGCGACTGGAGATAAGAAGAGCTGACCTTTCCAACTCGTCCAAGAAACGCCACTTTTACGACCTATCTAGTTTGCACTGAGGTCGGATGAGATAACATCACCCCACGTGCCAGGCCTCCCATCGATTGTTACTCAAGCAGAGGAGAATGCGCCACCTGTTCTCAACATACAGGAAGGATCGAGTTAGGAATGCGAGGGGGGAGGGGGGACGTTGTTATGAACTTTGACTTTAAGGGTACGATCGCTGGCGCATGCGTTATTTACGATTGGTATACCCTTCTACCTTGTACTCTCAACGCGAACAGATTGTTTAGAAAGTGCTTTGCTTTTTAGAGCGACCACATAAGAGTACGCATTGAGCCTCGATTCGCACCATTTCAGAGGTCTACTCAAACGTGCCGTTCCTGCTGTACAGATATATTACACTGGTCTAGAGCAGCGGAGCGCGCCTGTCGACACTGTTGTTGGCCGCGGCTTCTATATCACGTTAGGCACAAGCTTCCATTGATGCTTACATTATAGCACTAGGGCCTAACACGCAGTATGACAATGTTTGGTATCACTACAGAGTCTCTCTTCACGTGTTTCTGAAAAGAAAAAAAAAAAAAAAATCCAGCTGGAGCAGCCGGCTGGGCGCTCTAGACAAGTCTGATTCCATCTGTACGTGCATCGGCGTTCAAGAGATGTGCCAGGGGTTTCTAGCCACCCAAGTCGTGGATATCTAAAAAGGCGCGTGCAGCAAGTTTTTGCGAGTGCGGCAAGTGCGCGGACCTTGGAAATGGCAACCCCGCCACTAGCGCTTCTCACGAAAGACGTCGACCCTCATTTGTTATACCAATACAATTTGTTGGTATCGCATTCATTGCTAAGAGCCTAACTGAAGCTAACAAATTGTATCTTTTAGATATGATATTGTGCAACTCAAAAGAACGTTGGTTGAAGGGACAATGATCACTCCAGGTGCCAGTTTTCGTGCTGTTATGTAAACGCGGAGCCGATGTTAGCAGCTCAGAAAATTTACGAGCAGTCTGATTATGCCTCGAGATAGCGCACGCCAGCTACTGCACCATTGAAGCGATGCAGCAGCCTCTTCTCCCCCCTCCCCCTTTCAAAACGAAACAATGTATGCAATGCCGTGATGTACACTTTTTTCATTAATTGTAAGCTAGTGACCTTGGAAAGCTACAGGCGGAAGTGTGGCAAGGCGTAGCCCCATCACAGGCCTTCCGATATCAAAGTCGCGAGCAATGGCCCCACTATAGCTGCGCGTATTGTATCCGAATTGTGGCTGCTCGGCCAGGAAACATGCTTTTACTAATGAGATGATATTTAAAAAGAAAACATGCGAGAATTTTCAATTCTGATCCTAGCAACCACGAGTTCGACCGGGCAGAGTCTTTTAGGGGCTTTTACCGCCACAGGGATTATAAACGCGAATGTGCTGGTGAAAGGAATTACGAAAAAACTCTTCTGTATGATGATGCATGGATAAAGCATATTAGAAGAAGAGTGTAAACGCGTCCCCACCATTCACGTGTTCTTCTGCAGACACGAAGCACAAAAAATTAGATCACGACGTCCAGAAATAGACGTGACAAACATTCTGGCAGCAAGCGTGTAGTTATTAGTGAAAATTGCTTTATTACATGCCATGCAACTTTTCAAACAAACTGTCAGCAGCAATCCTGGAGCTTACGACGTCCGCTGTTGAATCGCTTCCACATTTCACGCTACCGATTGGACTAGCGCCATGAGCCCCTGCGGAAAGCGCATTTTGCCGTTAAGCAGACTTGCACAAAAGAAGTTGCGTCGGCACCAAACGTAGCACTGTTGATTTTAGGACGCACGTGCGACCGCTGTTTATTCAGCGTAATAAAATAAGTCCGTGATTGTGACTTCAGTGGTCCCGAAACAAGATGCACATGTATTGATTCGCCGGTGTTGCTACTGCCGGTAATAGACGCTCCCAAATCTGACATTGGCACAGTTTGGTGCAATTCCCGTAAATATTATCAAGATGACACAGTAAATCTGATTTGGCGCACTTTGGCACGTTCGATGCAGAAGTGGGATCACTTGAAGTGATCACTAGATGGCGTGGGCACGTGTGGTTTAATTTGATAGGATGGCAGACAGACAGACGAACAGCGAAACGGACAGACAGAGGAATGGCTGAGTTACGGAGCAAGAAAGAGAAGAGGGGAACTCGGACCTTGCGGTGTCGCACTGAAATATTGGTTTTACACTGTGGGAGAAGCATGCGCGCGCCTACTGTCTCCGACGCACCCAAGTGTTGTCTGCTATATATTTGCCTCTCACCAACTCCACTATGCTACTGGATGCAGCTATGAAAGTTTTTCACTGGCATGGTTTGCCAAAAGAAAATAAAGCAAGTAGAGCGTCTTAGTGGCAGCATTTTTATTTATATATGCTGGATGAGATGATCTTCAGAGAACGAAAGGAATGAAGTGGTAGAATAAAAAAAAAAACAGATGATTGTCATCGTAGCTAGGTGCGTGCCTAAAATCACTCATTGTGTCACTTGAGGATATATTTTGCACGTTCTTCAACATGGCAGTGCTATACAGAGTTACTGTGTGTGAAAGAAAGACAGACATTGACAGGCACATTTGAGCAGACAGAAATTGATTCGAACAGAAGAGCAGAGACTTCCTGGAGATATGAATCAATTCTGCGCAAAAAAATAATATTAAGTTAGGCTTTTTAACGCTCTGTCTGACCAAGAACAGTAGCAAGAATCGGCGAGGGCTATATGAAGAGGAGATAGACAATGGAAGGAAAACGACTGCGTCTAGTAAAACTATTTTCGCAGCGGAACAGTTGGCAGGCGACACACTATGCTAAGTTCAAATTTACAGACATCCCCGGCCAGCCGAAAAACTTTTGATTCTGAAGCGGCACTTTAGGCGGAGGTTTTACTTACTCGTGCCCAGAAATGAAGCCAAGAACTGGCCGCTATATCGCTGAAATTACCGATAAAAGCAACGCCAAACGAGTGAAGGTAGAGGATACTCGTCATGAGTCGGAAGTCTTCAGCCAATATTTTACCAACCTCCAAACGTCCTTGTAAGGTACATAATGAAAAAAGCGTGGTTCTCAGCTCAGCTTTACATGTTTGGTTGTTGTGGCTTGGCATGAACGATTGGTTCTAAAAAAGTTCCAACATAACACAAGCTTCAGAAGAGAGCAGACACATCAGAAAAATATTTTTTCTGTTTTTCCGTTTCTAGTTTTTTTATTTTTTTGTAATCTGAAAAAGTCGTCTTGTATGTTTTTTTCTTCATTAGAGCATATTGTATCCCATTTTTACCCTCGCATGCAAACATGAAAGAGTGAAAGCAAACCTGTTTAGGACCTGCGGACAGCTTTGTGAAACTATTGTGGTATGGTCTCTCTCCCAAGGGGCTCTGGCTAGTTTAGTGAAAACTCGTCGTAACGATTTGCCGTCTCATTTGGAGAGTGTATCTGATCTATGCCCTAATACACTAAGCAGCAAAAGTAAGTGTGCTGGCAGACGACAAGAGTGGGCTCCACGCTTCTTGCGTCTGCAGCTCCGGCGCGGCAGTTGGGTCGCGGTTCTGTAGGTGGCGCTGTCACGACGTTCGCCGCCACTCCGGGGGGTGACACAATCGCAGCGCGGACAGGAGCAGAGATTCCCCAACTGTCTATTTTTTATGCTGAGCCTGTGCCATTCAATTTTTCCCCATGTTAGGTTGTTTTCCTGTCTTTCTGTATTTTCCTGTCTTTATTTCTTTTAAAGCGAAAGCTGTTACGAGATCACTTCTCGTGTCTTGCGAAGTTGTTGCTGTCCGCCACTGCCGCCTGTTAGAAAAAAAAAAATTAGAAAAAGAACCTTCCACCAATGACACAGTGGGGCTTGAACCCCAGTCCGCTGGATGCCTGCCCAGTATTCTACCACTGAGCTACACCGGTGCTTGCAAATTATTGTCAAACTTGCCTTAGGCAGCCTTGATGTCGGCAAAGCAATTACGTTAATAAGACTTATAAAGCGTTTTACAATAGCGAAAAAACAACCAGTCGTCGCACAATGCGAATAGCGTTATGAGTGAGCCGTCCAATGCTCCAAACCATGACAAAAGCTTGTTTGTGTTCCCTTATTAACCGTGGTGTATACCCACTTCAGCCAAAATTCCTTACCGTCGTCAGCCACTGCATGGAAAATTGGCACATAATTCCTTTCAAGTGTTCAGCGAACACCACTGCTTCACAGAAGAATGACGAGAAGTAGCATAGCGAATGCTGGCCTACTACCCAAAAAATTATTATTAAATCTCCAGTGGGTATTAAGCAAGTGTGTTTGCAGTAGTTACCAAATGAGTGTTTTGGAAAGGATCTGAAAGGTCGCTCTTCTAGCTTTCGCTGTGACAGTGTTGGGCCTACCGGGCAGGCATGGCGTTTTGTTTTTCTCTTTCGAAGTGTTTTTCTTCTCTCTCTGTGGTCATTCTCTGGCTTTCAATCTTTTTCACTCCTCAATGATAACCGCTCCTGTAAAGCTTACGTATCACAAAAATTGGGCGAATTCCCTTGCATTAGAATTTAGATGACACGATTACAGTTGATCCGAATTTCGCGACGATACAAATTTTAAGGTTATTTCGAATGGGCTAGATTACATAAAATGTGCTGTGATTCTACGTTATACGAAGGGCTTGTCCAACATATAAGGGCGAAGCACCTTTAGACCAGGGCTTGTCCGTTGTCTGTCTGTGTGTCCAGCAGGGCACAGCCCATGCAAGGTACTCGCTATTCGTCACTAACTTTCACAAAGTAGGGAAGCACCCACTATGCCATTCGTCATTCTGCTCATAAGCGATGTGCCTGCGAAAAACACCTGTAAGGCATTATCTGCACTTTGCGCTGTGGCTGATGATGAAGAATAAGCGTGTTCCAGACCACAAGTTTCTTTCTGCCAATGAATAAGAGTGAACGTGAATGCACCCTCGCCCGCGCCACGTAACAGAGACTTAGAAAAATTGAGGGACCCTTAGGCTTTGCCTTTAGGAGTTGAATGCGATAGCCTTATCCTGTCCCTAGTGCATACAGAGTTCAAAATGGCTTGTGTCAGTGAAGCTTTTGTATACGGCTGTATTTTGTGTAATGGGGAGCCTGCTTTAAACCACGAGCAACTGCGCTGTTAAATCTCTTCAAGCTTGCTATGCACCCACTACAGGGGCTTAAGGGACAAGGCGCAGTAATGCATGTGCCTTTTATAGTGGGTGGCCCGTTTTAAACCATGAAGTCATCACAATCACAGGTTATGAAGCCTGATTGCAATGTACGCTTGTACCATGCATTATTAGAGCGATGTTACATGTTGTAATGCGAAGCTTGTATACAGGACGAATGTGGTTGTAAAGCATGCAAGTTACTTTCGCTTCATTTACAGGCAGAGGAATTTATTTTCACAGTATGTCTAAGCAGACATGTGGCTCTGTAGTGAGCACATGCTTACCACGCTGACGACCCTGGTTCCGTCCCCACTCGGACCCAAACGACCCGAAAACAACCCCCACTCTGATCCAAGATTTCTAAATATTTGCTAATTTACATCGTTCTCGATTTTTCAGTTGTACATAAAATGATTTTTCGCTCACAAACAATGACGCCCCCACTGACGCCACCACCAAAATTTCTGCAAAATGGGCTTCTTAACGCTATCGTGTTAAAACGAGCTAGCCAGTTGAGCACATCGGTATACGTTCATGATGGTGAAAGCGCTACAAAGTACGAAGTCTCCCAAAGAATACAGCACATCGTGGTATAAATGCACATAAATGCACATCATTGAGAACAAGGCCCAACTATTAAAACCTAGAACTAGATTCTTCAAAAGTTTTTTATCTTTCGAGCGCTTCACTATCACTAGCACTTCACTAGCACTTCACATAGATGCTTTAGCTTGTTGCTGAGCAACAAACAAAACTTGTGCTTTCGCAGCATCCTGGGCCCTCATGCGATACGGTCACTAAAAAGATGTGCGAGAACTAAAGCCTCTTGCATGAAGATGTTTGCAATCTGCTAGTTGAAAAGAAAGCAGAAAACACTTCTCTGGCATGACAGGCTGGGACAGCAGGAGAGAAGAGATTTTTCTTCGGAGACAAAGACGATAAGGGGAGAGAGAGAAACAGTAAGAGTCTCTAAGTCAATGACATCACATTAACACCATTCAGAAAAATCAAGTGGCGCCAGCCGCTGCTTGGAACGATGAGACAAGGCAGAAAGCTGTGTGGAAACAAACTGGTCTAGCTGCGTAGTGGGGTCAAGCACTGTGCGTGTGAAGAGGCCCGGTCCAGAAAAATATGGCACAAGAAAAAAAAAAAGCCGGACAAAAGGGAAAACCTGCAGGCAAAAAGCCGGCAGCATTTTCTTTTTTTCACCATTCAAGTCCCCACAGTGCATGAGTCATGTAAAGCAAGTTGAGCATCTAATTACGTTGGACAATTAGGGTTTTTCAATGCATTGCCTCTATGAGGCCGTCATCCGGGGAGGCTAATGAACCGTATAGTTTTGTGAAAGCAGGAGACGTGTAATTGAAGATCCACTGTATTTTCACGAGATTTCGAGCTCTTTCTTTCTATTCGCCTTTGACAACTACAGTTACATATTCGGGGGATAGTACAGATTCAGTGCAGTTTTCTTTTTTATACAGTGCAGATAAACAATAGCGTAGCTAAAAGCAATTACACAGGTATCGGAAACGCTGAAACGGGCGGCTTTATTTTGTTACCGTTTTTCAACCACTACGCATGCACCTGTGCTTTCCGAGGAGCACAGAGCAAATAGAAGTGAAGACACCCACCTTAAAGGCGCCGCGGAGCTCTTCAACAGAGGTTCGCAAGAAGTGTTGCGTTCGCTTCCATTCGACCACCTCGTCGGGGGGCCCAGGACTGAACGAACTGAGCCACTTCTTGCCTGTCCGCTTCAGCGCACCCCACAGACAACTCAAACGGCTGCCACCACCACTGCTTCGGGCATTGGCGAGAGAATGGTGCTGTTGCGCAACGCTGCTGTTGCGGCTGCCCTCGACGCCAAGCTTTTCCTGAAGCTGCCTGTCGATGGCCCGGCATGCCTGCCTCGCTAGCTGCACCAGGTGGATTACCTACACAGCAGACAGCTCTCAGTTTCCCCAAGCTATTCCTACTACACTCAAACCTCATTATAGCAGAGCTGCACCTTACACGAAAATAAGCACATTATATCCAGAAATCTGTTATAAAGGTTTATTCCTAACACTACTATATCTATTGCAAGACAACTTTTCATTTACTTCATTATAACCAATATTTTCTCATACTTGGGTTCGTTAGATAAAGATTTGAGTGCATTCTGAATACTGTATCTATCGCAAGACTATTGTTTATTTACTTGGTTACAACCAATACTTCATAACATCCAGACTTGTTGTATTGAGGTTTGTGTGCATGAATCACACACTAAATTAAGGATTTTTCACGCGTCAAATGTGAACGAGGCACCACCCCTCAGAAGAAGTCTGTATTAATTTCGACCATCTGTGACATTGCGAAGTCGCTTTATATTTGCGTCAACTCATCGTAATATTCGAGCCCACAAATGACAATGCTCATAAATGACTAACAATTATGGGCAAAGAGCTTCACAGAATGTTGTAAATTATGCTACCCATAACCAAAAAAAAGAAAGGAAACGCCAAAAGAGAGCAAGCAATATTCCAAGCCAGGTTGAAGGTCTACAGCCAGAGTGAGTGGAACATAGCATTTGACCTGCATCTTCATGCGATAAAACTGCTAACAAATTCTATGTTTTCCTACTGCATTGAAGCAGGTTTTGCAATTCTTTAAACCAACAACAATCGATCCAAGCTTCCACTTAGTGCGTCCAGAATCTCGCAAAGAAGTACCATCGTCCAGTGTCCCAGCACCCACCTGCTTGCGTCTCTCTTCGCCATTAAGGGGCCGGTAGACGAAGCCAGGCTCTTCGACGTCGGCCATGTGCTGTCTCACCAGGGTGGCCACTGGGGCACTCACCGCCTGCCGCTGCAGGGCGTTGCTCACTGGCGACGCTGACTGTCCGCCATTGCCGAGGCTTGCTTCCGCTGAAATGGCCACAGACGTGAGAAAAAAGAGGGTTGCCAATTCGCTAGCTAACCTGCCATCACAGTACTGAAGTTACATATTAAAACCTGTCTGAAACAAATGTTTTTGAGAATCTGTGTCACGTCCAGGTTAAACTGTATACAACAGAATCTCAGTGACACGAGCCCTGCTGATACATTTGGTACGATATTGTGCTCAATGAATCGAAATTCGTTATCTTTCAAACACTTCTCTATTTCGCGGTCAGTTGATCCAAACTTTAGTGCAAAAACCGTCGAGCGAATTACGCGAGAAGCTCGCTCTAGAATCTATGTACACGTACATGGCCAGCACACACACAGTGGGAACTGTTGTTACAGTTTGCCCCAAAGGCTGCGGACAAAACTACGATTGCTATCAGCACAATCTTGTGTAAGGACCATGACACTTCGAAGCTACACGTGCATGCAATGCTCCCCGAGTCAAAGCAATGTGACTTATGCAAGCGTGGAGGTCTAAACAGTGTTGATCATAGACAGCAACGACTTAGTTCTGAAGGAATGTGCATGGTTCACACATATGCCTTGAACATGGAACTAACTGTTCCATGTTCCTGCCTACAGGAACATGGAACTACCGTTTGCCTACAGCGCATGAAACTCCAATCGCCATTAACAGAATCATTCATGGCAACAACACAGCTCTAAAGTAACACGGCAGCTCTGAAATAACACGGCTAATGCAGCGGTAGGTTAAAAGCAATAAGGTCGTAAAAAGGCCTGAAGCCTTGTGGCTTTTTGCAGTTTGCTTATGAATATGGTGGAGCAGTATATGGCACTTAGTTTTCAGTTGACCTCACCCGTAGCTTTGACAGAAGCATTCACAGCAGCCAGCTGCGTCATCCCTTATAGTTCCATTCACATGCAGGTTCTTTTGGCAAAAATAACTGTTCAGTACAAATATCGTGGTTTGAAAACACACTTTCCTGTACAGTAAAACTGCGATAATTTGAAGTCAGTGGGGCCACGAGAAAGGTTCGAAATAAGCGGGTTTTCGAATTAACAGAACATACAAAAAGTGAGATGCAAGGAACTTAGAACCATTCAAAGTAATCAGTGCTCGTCGTTTGCTGCGCCGGCTAGCTTGTGGCTCTAAAGGTTATGTTTTGCAGCAATACCTGGCCTTTATTTTTTCGCGAACATGAAGCAACGATGGGCCTCGCTGCTGCCACCGAAAAAATACAAAGAAAACGCGGTCGTGACTGGCTGAAATGTGCGCCTGCAGAAAACAACATATCTTCACTGCAACACAGTAGTGACATGCGGGCAGCATGTCGCCTGCTCCTCGCTGCGTCAGCACGCCATGATGCGACCATTTGCACATTCTTTCTGTTTTAATTATGAATTAAGTAATCGCCAGTATAACAAAGCTCACGATGTGTTTTGAATGGAAAAAAAAGATCTTTGAAATTTTCCAACTTGGTTTTCGAAGTAGGTGTTGCTGGCAAGAACTCCGCCAGCAGTTCAAAGACTCGAATTGCTGGAGCAACCGGCAATTGGAGGTTCACATAACTGCGATATCTGCTAAACTGTTCTTTATCAATTTCTTTACGATCTCAGAAAGAATGGGTAAACCATGACCCGCTGACGTAGCGAGAAACATGCAATAAGCTGCCCGCGTGTCACCACTGTGTTGCAGTGAAGCATGGCTTGTTTTCCACAGGCGCATGTCTTGGTTCACCACGAGACTGTTTTTTTTTTCTTTTTTTTTGCGCTAGAAGTAGCGAAACTAGGGTGCTTCAGCTGCCACTCATAAGTATTGATACGTTGCATTGCCTTGTGGCAATCAATGGCCGTCGTTTTCACAGATTCGCGGCAAAATCGGGATGTGGAACCGGCACATGGCACCCAAAGTTTTCGAATTGATCGAACTGATGCCGGCCCCCGCTTCCAATTCTCCACTCTAACTTACGTTAGAAAATACGGAACAGCATAAATCCTTCAAATTGGGCACGATTTCGAAAGAACCGAGTTGAAATTAATGAGGTTTTACTGTATATATATATTTTTAGAACATTGTTACGGAAAAGAAGAGACGCCGTAACGACGAGGCTGGGGATTAGATATAATGAAAACAAGCAATAATGGCGTGACCGGTTCACTAGGGATCGAGCGGAGACAACTCTTCGTCTTCCTCGTCAGGCACACACGCGCATCGCCCCCTAGAATATCAATATACATGCATATAGCATAACCCCCGGCGGCACAAGCGCTGTCTCCGCGCATCTAAATGTCAACGTCACTAGGAGAGTTGCAGGGCTTCAAGCGGGCAACATGTACAATATCAGTAGCCTGTTGGGCACATGAAGGCGACAGGATGGCAGGACTAATTTCATATGTTACAGAAGTAACCACATGAAGGACTTCGCATGGGCCTGTGTAGCGAGTAAGCAGTTTTTCTGACAAGCCAACTTGACGGCTCGGAGACCAGAGCAGTACCAAAGAACCGGGCGGAAAGTGTACGCCGCGGTGTCGTTGGTCATACAAGCGCCGTTGCTTTTCTTGAGAGGTCAGAAGGCGAGTACGGGTGATTTCGCGTGCGTGAGCGACCCGAGTGATAGCGTCCATGGCAAATTCACTGGTAAGTACTCCACGGGACGGTATGACGGTGTCTAGAGGCAATGTTGGTTCTCGGCCAAAGTGCAGAAAAAATGGAGAGTAACCGGCAGTGTCATGGCGCGAAGAATTGTAGGCAAATGTGACGTACGGCAATGCGAGATCCCAGGCGGTGTGGTTGGTAGAAACATACTTAGCGAGCATGTCTGTAGGAGTTCCGATTAAGACGCTCCGCGAGTTCATCGGTTTGCGAATGGTATGACGTAGTCAGCTTGTGTCTCGTTTTACAGGACCGCAAGATGTCGGCTATGACCTTCGACAAAAAGGTGCAGCCACGGTGTGTAAGCAGCCGCCGTGGGGCTCCGTGTTGCAAAATCACGTTCTTGAGGAAGAAGTCGGCGACATCTGTGGCGCAGCTTGTTGGAAGAGCTCGTGTGATGGCATAATGCGTGGCGTAGTTGGTGGCCACGGCTATCCACTTGTTACCCGAGGAAGACAAGGGGAAAGAACCAAGTTGGTCCAAGCCAAGGCGGAAGAACGGCTCTGACGAAATATTAAGTGGTTGAAGGCGTCCGGCGGGAAGTGTCGATGATGTTTTGTGGCGCTGACATTTCTCACGAGCCGCAACAGTGTCTTCTGACTGAGCGTGCAAGCCCTGGCCAGAAGAAACGTTGGCGTATTCGGTCATAAATGCGTGACATACCAAGGTGACCAGCAGTGGGAAGGTCATGAAGTTCATGTAGAACTTCTGAGCGAAGGCGTTTCGGAATGACAAGCAGCAGAGCCGGTCCATCCGGCTCAAAACTTTGGCGGTATAATAATCATCGTGGAGCACGAATTAGCGATGGGACTGACTGGGAGATGGCGATTCGAGGTGCTTAATGACAGCACGCAAGGACGCATCATAGCGCTGCTCGTTACCAATGCATGTCATTTGCGAAAGGGAAAAGACGCAAGGCTCGGTGTCGGTGTCAGGCATAGTGCTCGACTCAGCGACCGGGTAGCGGGACAGGCAGTCTCCGTCCTGATGTAGGCATCCAGATTTGTACGTAACCATGTAGGTGTACTCTTGGAGTCGCAGAGCACAGCGCCCGAGCCGGCAAGTAGGATCCTTCAGTGACGTAGGCCAACATAGCGCATGATGGTCAGTTATCACAGAGAAATTAGTGCCATATAAATATGGGTGGAACTTTGAGACTGCCCAAACAAGAGCAAGACATTCACGCTCCATAATAGAATAGTTGCGCTCAGCAGCTGTGAGGAGGCGGCTAGCGTAGGCGACAACTCGGTCGTGTCCTCGTTGGCGTAAGGCTAACACGGCTCCGATTCCGTGACCACTAGCATCGGTTCGAACTTCCGTCGGAGTGAATGGGTCAAAATGAGCCAATATGGGTCAAAAAGCAGCAGCTTGGTCGGTACCCCACGTAAATGTGACGTCTTTCTTCAGAAGCTTTGTGAGGGGTCGAGCGATGGTTGCGAAATCTTTCACAAACCTTCTAAAATAGGAGCAAAGTCCTACAAAACTCCGGACGTCTTTGGCTGACTGGGGTACAGGAAAACTGGTGACTGCACGAATTTTCTCGGGGTCCGGCTGCAGACGCGTCGACAAGGTGGCCCAACACTGTAATTTGCCGGCGTCCGAAGCGGCACTTCGACGAGTTCAACTGAAGGCCTGCAGTGCGGAATATGTCGAAAATGACAAACGCTGAAGGTGGGTCTCAAATGTTAGGGAATATACAACGACATCGTCAAGATAACAAAGACATGTTGACCATTTGAACCCTTGTAGCAGAGAGTCCATGCGTTCCAACGTGGCTGGAGCGTCGCATGGCCCAAACGGCATAACCTTGAACTGATATAGGTCGTCTCGAGTTACAAATGCAGTCTTCTCTTGGTCTTTTTCGTCAACAGCAATCTGCCAGTAGCCGGAACGTAGGTCTATTGTAAAAAAGTATTGGGCGCCATGGAGACAATCGAGAGCGTCATCGATGCGGGGTAAAGGATAAACGTCCTTTTTCGTGATTCTATTCAGATAACGGTAATACACGCAGAAGCGCCACGTGCCCTCTTTCTTTTTAACGAGCACAACGGGGGACGCCCAATGGGTTCAAAGAGGGTTCAATAATTCCTTTGGCTAACATATTGGTGACTTCTTGTTGAATTACTTTACCCTTGGTGGCAGACACCCGGTATGGTCGCCGATGAATGAGATGAGAATCACCTGTGTTAATGCGGTGCTTGACGAGTGAAGTCTGGCCGAGTAGACGGCTGTCGATGTCGAATATGTCGCGGTATGAAGCCAGAAGGCAGCATAGCGCAGTTGACTTCTCAGGTTTGAGGTCCGGGGCGATCATGGAGCGTAAGGTCGCATCGAGGCACGTGGCATCCTGCGAGCGATGTGGGTGCTCGGGGCATACGTCTGACGTAAAACAGGTGACGCGGTCGTCAATTAAGGGCCTTAGCGTGGCGACCGAAATTCCTTGGGGTAGCACTTGTTTTATAAAACCGAAATTGATAACAGGTAAATATGTTCAGTTAGAGGCCGTGCTTACGAAGAAGTGTGGGACAGTAATGTCACGCGCCAGGAGAACATCAGTAATCGGCGTCACGATATACTCCCGTGCTCGGCGTCACTGTCGAGCACGGGAGAGGGTGTTGCCAATTCGACGAATGTGAGAGCTTTAGGCAGTATACGGAAGAAGTCAGTGGTGCACAGGCTGTTCGGGAGTTCAGGGTGAAAATCCGGGAGAAGAAGTTCTAGGCAGAGAGTACCAGTGGCACAATCTATCAGGGCAGAATGCATCGATAGGAAGTCCATGCTGAAGATTAGGTCGTGCGGGCAATTTTCAAGCACCGTAAATAAAATGGGGACATGGCGGCCGGCAATACTAATAAGAGTGGTACACATTCCAGTGATGGCCACAATTCCACCATCAGCGACACGGAGGGCTTCATAAAGTAGCTAAAGGCGTGAGGACTTTTTTGAGCAGGCGACACAGACGAGCACTCATTATGGACACTTGAGCTCCGGTATCAACTAACACCATCAAAGAAATACCGTCTACATACACCCAAATCAAGTTCGTATTAGTGGGGAGCGTCAACGGAGGATTCGGATCAGTCGCAAGTGATGCAACACTACCTCCCGGAGCTGCATGATCTAGTTTTCTATCTGAGAGGATCCATAATTGACCGGCGACAAATAGCGGCGTGGTTGGGGCGATGTGGAACGGCGGCGTTGAAGTGACGGCGAACGAGCAGTAGAGCGGCTGTTAGGGACACCAAAAGAAGGGTACACACGACTGGGCGAATACCGATGGGAGTCCTCGTATGGTCGAGTAGAGGAAAATGGGCTCCAGTTTTAGGGCGTCCAAGTGCTGCGGCAGTAGCGGGAGATATGGTCAACTCGGTGGCAGCGGAAGCAGATCGGCTTGTTGTCTGCAGTTCTCCATTCCGCCGGATTGCGGGATCGCGGAATAAAATGTAAGTCATGGCGTGATGCATTTGTTGTCTTTGGTCTGGAGACGGGTCGGGAGACAGAGCAGGCCACAGGAAAACTGAGCTTTGCAATTTCCTGCCTCACGACGGCTTGAATAATACATACCACCGGAGGCGTTTCTGCGGCACCATGGTCGAGCGGATGTGGATGAAATGGTGCCGGACTTGACGCCTCAAGCTCCCGTCGAACTATTCGTGTCACGCTGTCCTATGGGTGGTGCGGCACCTAGATCGGTGCAGGTGGATGTAACAGCCGTGTTTGGTAGCCGCGTAAATTGAGGCAGAACATGGCGGCTTTTGGCTATTTCAAAGCGGCGGCATTCCTTGTCATATCTACGGTCGTGATGTTAGTGCAGACAAGCAAATTGAAGGCGTCGTCCGCGATGCCCTTGAGTATGTGGCCCACCTTGTCACTCTCTGTCATTTGCTCGTCGACTTTTCGGCACAACGAGAGCCCGTCCTGTATGCATGAGACATACGACTCTGTTGAGGACTGCACATGAGTGGCGAGTTCTTTTCGCACTTCCATTTGGCGACTGGACGGGTCCCCAAAGATGTCGCGTAGTCGCTCCTTGAAGATATCCCAGCTGGTGAGCTCGGTCTCATGGGCATCGAACCAGACCCGTGGGGTGCCGTCCAAGTAAAATATTACGTAGGCGAGCATCATGGTAGGGTTCCATCGGTGTGTTTGGCTAACACGCTCGCACATACGGAGCCAGTAGTCAACGTAGAGCCCAGGTTTTGCGGAGAATGTATCGGGATCACGGGGGGCGGGCATCGTCAGGTATGTAGTGGCTCGAGCTACAGACGGAGACGGGCTGTTGTCATTGGTAGCCATGGTCGGAGACTGAACGGTGCAGCCACTGCGAAGCTTCGTGGTGAAGACGGGGAATGTTCCACCTCCACCAAATATGTCACGGCAAAGAAGAGATGCCGTAACGACGAGGCTGGGGATTAGATATATTGAAAACCAGCGGTAATGGCGTGACCGGTTCACCAGCGATCGAGCGGAGACAACTCTTCGTCTCCCTCGTCAGGCACACACGCGCTTAGCCCCCTAGAATATCAATATACATGCATATAGCAATATAAAAAAATTTTCGCTTTCCCTCGAGATTCGTATCATCAACATTCTACAGTAGTGCCAGGTTTAGCGAACGTTGGCTTACGCGCGCCTTGCCTTCCTAATCTCTATGCCAAACACATTCACACATTCCTAGCTTAGGAAATGTCCTGCATTTCAGAAATTAAGCAGCCATGTGAATGAAAAAAAAGAGAAAGGAGGACAGATGGACATAAGAGATATGCAGGCTGCAATGATTGCTGTATGATGCAACTTACCTTCTGTGATCATAGCAAACAGGTTAGGCTGAAAAAGGACCTGCAACATAACACAAGAAGAATTGGCCAAAATGCAGACATAAGCAGCAGCAAAGCAGACAGATGATAAAAGGCATTGTATCTCGAAATAGCGACATTCTTTGGGGGGGGGGGGGGGGAGGAGTTGGGAGAGCAAGGAGCCCAGCACTTTATTTAGTTTAAAAGATGTTGATTAATGTTTGAATAAAGACGACTAGCATTATAGTGTGCAATAGGCTTAAAGTGGTGCTATGGCACATGAGTGCGCAAGCAGATACCTGGAGATGCTTACTATGATAAAGCATTTCGACAGCGATAATTCATACCGGCATGCCTGTCAGTGGTTGCCATCTCAATCGTCTTCGTTCTTTTTTTCCTGCGAGTACCCGCAAAGGCACTGTCACAATCTAGCGACAGTCGGAATAATTGACTGCCCAATCTTTGCACTGATCAAAATTACGGAAAGCCATTCGTGGCACATAGAGGAATCTGAAAGTTCAGCAGCGCAGTAAACTTTTGTGGCACAAAATGCCATCGCCCTGCACCTTGGTACGCAACACCAGCAAATATTAGACGTACCATTATTGCAGTCAGCAAATGCAATAGCCTCTATGAGACTCCGTCAGGGACTCATTGCAACTACGTTTCAACCGTTAGTACGTTTAAAGCGGGTAAATACAAACGAGGTTACACTGCATATTATTCTACATGCCACACCTCTATAAGGTGGTCTCACTAAAGAAAAAAGTGCTATATTAAGAATACACCTATCTAGAAAAAACTGCACTGCTATAAAGCTCCACTTCAAGGTTAAATGAACATATGACCCCCATTTAGATTCATCATTTTTTAGGGGCACAGCTCCTCTTAGTCTAACCTTGTCCTGCGTGTAACATAGCCGAGAGAAGAGACGAGATACTGAGAGAAGAAGAGACGAGAAAAAAAATAAAGCAATTTTTCTCGAACAGTATAATAGACGGCACTGTCTCATAGAAGTACATACATACTGCTGTTGCGTGACGATATTCCAGATGGCACTGTACCGCTACTTTCCAATTGGCTGCCGCACGGGTTATGCCTGGGTGCGTGAGGAAGAAGTGCCTCCCTCAGTCCCCTGGATAGTCGCCGTATGTGGCAGATCGTTGGTGTGGCATGAACGAAGGAAGGCGGCTGGCGTGTTAAAGACGCTTGCGCTCGGCTTTTTTGGCTCGCGTCTCGTCTGTGTTACCCACGCGTCGTCTACATTTTCGAACACGATCGGGCGCATGGACACGTGCACGAGCAAACGGACACAAGGATGAACAGACGAACAGACAGACGGATGCACAGACAGACCGACGTACGAATGGACAGGTGGACACACAGGCGGACACATGGATGAATGCAAGGACGAATGCACAGACCAACACACGGACGGACAGACGGAGAGAAGCATGGTTGGACGCAGAAATACTTTGCCCCACTCATCATGCACTCCGTGGATATGCTGCGATATTTTAAAGCTGAAAAGCTTGTTATATCCGTTAATATACTCTACTTTAAGTATAGTAAATTCTAAAACGTAACATATTTCACAAGTTATCCCTGGTATTCGACTGCCGTACATCGGGACCGCTACGCGGCCACACGTGAATAGAAAATAAATAGAAGACAAATATTTTTGCTTGCTCAATGCACACACTGGCTATTCTATTGCCCACTAGACTTTACTGAGAAGTCTGTAATGCTCTTTTGCTTCGGACATCTCAAGCGAAGGATGTCTTTTACAGCGGTGGCCATCGTGTTCATGCCATTTTCGCCGTTGCATGGGCACCGAAGAAACGGCGCAGGAGGTCGACCGCAGCGAGCGCCTGCGACCACGTTGGCGCGTCGAACGCATGCGAGACTACGGAGTCTTTGTTGCTGCTTGCATCGGTCTGTCCGGTGACAGCTGTGTCGATAGCATCGTCAGTAGGCTCCTTTGTTGTGACCGCGTTGGCATGAGCGTTGACATAACCGCAGAAGGAGTCAACTGCCGCAACACCGGCGCCACAAAGTGCTTTCCAGGACGTTCCATCACCCACAGCAGTCCCATCACGCGCGGCACTAGTGGAGTCGCACGTAGCCACTTCGCACAAAGCATGTTAGAAACAGTTGCCTATTGTGCTTGCGGAAACGCTTGTCCACGCATCTTGCAGCATTTTAATAGCCATGTATAGGTCCACTTTAGTTTCTCGCTGCAAACTCATGTTCAGAAGCACGCGATCAACCAGGCGTTTGCGGCAGCCTGCCTTCAAGGACATAATTATCTCTTGATCAAGTGGCTGGATGAGAGAAGTACAATTGGGTGGCAAAAACAAAAGTTCAGTGTTGGGAAGTTCAACAGTTGTGTGGTGGGCCATGCAATTGTCTAGTATTAAGCACACCTTGCGGTTCTGCTTATGCAGTTGCTCGTCCCAATCCTGCAACCATTTCGCAAAAAAGTCTTGCGTCATTCACGCTTTGCTATTCGAGACATATCGCACCATCAGATTGCGCTTCCCTTTGAAGCATTGAGGCGATGCACTTTTCTCTATGACGAACGCTGGCATCTTCTCCGATTCCATCCATGTTCGTGTAGAGCAGCTCAGTGATTCTTCGCTTGCTGTGCTTCCCGCCACAGCTCACCTCTGAGTGACAGAGTTTTACTAAGGAACATTTGAAAAAGAGCCCAGTCTCACCAAGTATTTTTCTTCCACTCGGCCAAAACTCTTTATCAGCCATGCTGCTGCCAACTCGGCATCAACGGAACGAGACTCGCCCACTACCGTTCTTCCAACGATGTCATGCCTCTTCTTGAAACACTGTAGCTAGCCAGCACTGGCGACGAAACAGTCATGGCGCATTATACAGGCAAAATTTCTAGCCTTTCTCTGCAAAATTTCGCCACTCATTGTCATATTCACCGCTCCAGCGTTTAAAAATCATTTGTAAACAGCATCTTCGACTCGCTTGAACGCCGCAGTTCGCAGCTTCTTGAGGCTGCCTTTCACGCCGTCAGTAATGGCATTTGTGATCGCTTCACAGCTGGGAAGAATAATCGACAATGTGCTCGCCGAAATGCTGAAGTCTTTGGCCACGCGAGCTTTCTTCGTCTCCGAGTTGACAGCATTTAAAATGGCTGCCTTTCTTCTAAGGATAGCCTTTTTCGTTTGCGCTTTCCATAGCCTTCATTCATGGCGACTTGACCGTACACAGGCGACCACAATTAGCAGATATCAATCGTCGAAGAGCACGTGCACCAAGCAAACACGTTGACAAGCCTTGCGACTAACCACGACTGCACAGCAGGGAGGCAGACCTGGCACAAACCGGTTTTCAAAGAAGAGGGAAATCGCCTTGCACCGCGGCAAAGTGGTAGGTGTTCTGTGCTGCGGCGTCGCTTCTCGGTCATGTGATCCGCCGAGCGCTTCTTCGATCTTCTCTAGCTGGCTGTGCGAGGAGGATGGCTCCCTCCGCTGCGCGTGACGGGGCTATAAGGTCGGTGCGGGAGTTTTGAAAGAGCTTCGCCAAATGAGCGTTAAAGTCTGCAGAAAATGATATACTTAACACACTGCGGTCAGTTTTTTTATAGACAATTCGACAGACTATATTCATTTACCATTTAGATTATATCCATTTACCGGTCAATTTTACTTCGTTACAACGCAGTTTAAAATGCATGGTTTTCAATGGAGCTTTTAAGGGGAATTCCATTAACTTCGTTATATCCATTATTTTGTTATATCCCATTATGTTATAACGAAGTTTGAGTGTAGTGCTAGTTGGGTCCCAACAAAAATGCCTCTTTTCAGCATTACTGTGTGATATACACTATTAAAGCTTTTCGATTCGAAATCATTCGACCAAATCACTACGTGCTTCAAATTCTCGGCGAACCTTGAACTCATCATCCCCTCAATCCCACAAAATAGGTAAGGAATCAAAAACCAAGGCATGTATGCGAGCAGCAAGCAGTAGAAGAGCGTGCATCGCACCTTGGTGCACCGATACAGCACGAATGCACAGTAGCGGCTTGCAAGGTCCATGCGAAGGAAGCGCGGCAACAGCACGCCCAGCAGCTCTGTGTAGAAGAGCAGGTGCTCCTGCACAAATGGCTGCCTGCATCATCACAAAGGGAAAGAGGGCGTCACACTCCTTGTCCACTCGTGAACCTTCCCCTCTAAATCATCAAACAATTCACTAGCAAAAAAACTAGAGTGTAAAAAAGACGAGACACAGGAGACAAGTAGACAGGAACGGGCACTCACTACCAAATGGCCTTATTATGAAAGAACTGTGGAAAATATGCAGGCCATACATCACAAAAGCGGCTCCGCACACATTGCAAAGCTGGTCATATCAAAAAGTAAAGCATATTGCGACATAGCAATTGAAATTCGCACTTTCACAAAGACACTGACGCCTGGCTGATGCAATCTTTCACCCTTCAATTTCATGTAGCCCATTTCTTAATACAGTCATAAGTACGTCAAATTATATAACATGCCGCGGCAGCCAGCAAGTGGCCAGCGAGCGCTGAAAATACCCCATTTTCGCGCGTTTGCAATTTTTCCACCATGCAACCCAGCGCCGCACCTTGGTCTTATTTTGATCATAAATTTTTGCTCTTTTTTTTTTTCGCCACCTGCAGCAGCCACAGCGGCATGGCTGCGCGGGAATCGCTCATGATTGGAGAGCTCTCAAAGTTTTGAAATCTCCCGCGGCTTGGATGCAAAGCCACGATCGGAGGAAGCACGCGCCTCTCGAGGGAGTGGGTGATCCCGCAGCTCCTATTGGCTGCTGTGCGTGATGACGCATCTGTTCCTCTGGCTCGCCATCTGCTCCGACGCGACTTGCAAGCTCTGGTGTTCTCTTGGCGTATGTTGTTTTCCCGTTAGTTGTCATTCTGCTCGGTTCTCCACGCATGCTCTTCAATCTTTCACCGTGTTTGCGAGACGATCTTTCGCCGTGTTCACGGGACGCCGATTGTTGTTCTGTCACTAAAGATGGGAAGGGCAAAGTTTGGGACTCGGCATGCGTTCCGTTCAAGAAAGTGTCCTATGGAGCTTTCTTGAACACTTCACATAAAAGAAGCAGGAAAGAAGCAGTTCACACCTTTACAGTTTACATAAAAAGAAGCAGGAAAAGTCAAGGACCGCACATTATAGTGGGTATTGGCCAGAGAAACAGGAGTGTCCCAGATGCAATGCCTCGCGGCGTTGCATCAGGCTTGAAGCTCTGCTGGGAGTCGAACGGCAGGTCGCAAACGGTTCTAGCCAGGGCACTGCGTGACGCCTAGCGTTCAGGTGAATTCTGGGACTGCCCGTGGACTTCCAACGGTTCACAGCCAGAGACTCTGAGGCACCGTGCGTCAGCAGTAGCTGGGATCTCTTGTCCACCTCGCTGCTCCTTCCTCCAAACTCTCCTTTTCCCACGCGCTGCTCCCGCATTTTTCTTTCACCTTTTCTTTTTTCTCCAAGATGCTCGTGCCACGAGGGCTTCCTGCATCTCACATCTTTATCTTTTCCTTTTGTTGTGTGTGACACTTTTGTAGCCCGAGTCGCAGTGGCTCAACAGCATTGTTGTTTTTGTTGTTTCCACTCCGCCAGAGTCCTAACCCACACCACGTGATACACAGAAAACGTGGGCCCATGCTGCAGCCAGTGCTGTCTGCAACTAAAACTATTAAATTGGACACTATGAAATTCGACACAGAATACACACGCACACATGTAACGAAAATTCTCCAATAAAAACCCAATGCTTGTGCGCTCTGCAGGAGCTTCAGGGTAAGTTTGTGCACAATTTTATCTGCATATGCCTTGCAAAGGCACCTTGCAAAAAAAAAAAAATATCCATCTCATTGGCTACTGACCAGTGGGCTTCGACACCGTGGCTCGCTGACTTGTGCCGGTCGGGGTGCCTTATTTGTGAGGAGGAATATCTCCACGGCTGGATGAAACTCAGCCACGTCTCCAGTGGCTGCAAACAAGTAAAGAAAGTGCAATGTGTCAAGGAGGTACACTATAACAGTCATACTTTTCACGAAATACTATGTTATATCCAGTGGCTGCAAACAAGTAAAGAAAGTGCAATGTGTCAAGGAGGTACACTATAACAATCATACTTTTCACGAAAATACTGTTATATCGAAAAATCTATAATAAACATTTGTAGCACTGTTTTTAAGACAGAACTATTCATTTACTTTGTTATAACCAATAATTTGTTATACCTGTGTTAATTGTATCAAGCTTTGAGTTTATACGAATTGGCAGGTGTCCCTCAATTCAGTCACTCTCTTTAACACAAGTCAAATACATAAGTCAAATCTAAACAGCACCCCCAGACTTTAACTGAGTCAGTTGGGCATGCATGTCTTCAGGCGATTCTTGATATCTCTCCTGGTATTGAGAATGTGATAATAACGATCTACCAACAAAAACGAAACCATTTTTGATCTTTAGCGCCTCTAATGCTGAACAAAAATAACCAGCAGACTCACCAGGCGCAAAGAGCTGTCTAGTGGCCAACTGGCGAGGGCATGCTTCAAGAACAAGTAGAGTCGCTTGCGAAGGAGCCGCGGCAACACCTTCCTGAAAACGGGACACAAGCACATCAGCAGATGACTTTTCATTACACTCAACCTCAATATAACGAACACAGATATAACAAAATATCAGTCATAGTGAAGTAAATGAAAAGTAGTCTTGCAATAAATACAGTGTTGGGAATAACCTCTCTAACAAAATTTTCTATATGTTGAAAATGTTTTCTTGTAAGATGCAACTATGTTATAATTACGCTTGAGTGTACTTTGTTAAAGGGGCCCTGAAACACTTTTTCAAGTAACTATGGTATGTAATCACTGGAAAAACTTATTGCCTCATGAATTCAACGCTGCAAAACTTTTAAAATTTTGTCTAGTGTGAGTGGAGTTAGAAAGATTTGTTGCATGCTACAATGGCTTTTCTCCGTTTTCTTGTCCCCACGGAAGCACTGGAAGCTAAGCAGGGAGGGATGGCAGGGGCTATTAAAAACGTCATGCGCGTCTCGTGACCTTGAGCACTTTTTTGTTTTGTTTTTCTTCGAATGGGCGGCTTTTTCAGTGTGATCGCATGCACACCCGTGGACAAGCTGCGGCCTCCCGTGCTGATCTCTGTCAATGGCTGATCGTTTTTTTCCCAGTGATTTTTGAGTGTCTTCCGTGATTTGTCGAGAGAAGAGAAAGCAATTTTTAGCCGCTTTTGATAATTTATTGTGAATTCAAGGCTACGTGCTGCGCTATAATATTTTGCTCGCTTGTTGTTGGGAGCCTCTACTACTATTCCGCAGCGTTTTATGACCATGCACAAAAAGTGTTGTAGGGCCCTTTTAAGGGGACACGGTAAGCAAAAATATTGAAAAAAAAAAAATCATCTTTTTCTTTTTGCATCAGTTGAAATCTGCAGCCTTTTCTTAACACAAATCACTAGTTTGTCTTATAACTTTTTTTCTCTAAAAATGACATAATTCAGAACTCGTCTAATGGCTTGTCCGTGGCCCCATAATTACGTAGCAAGGAATTCTTTGCAGTTACAGCCTCATAGCCATATGGAAAAGTTACAGTTTGCAAGCTGGAGAGTATTTGACACATTCAGAAAAGAATGGGCCCAGAACTGTGAAAAGACAAGCAGAGGCATCCTCAAACTCTGTTGGGAAATCTATATCGTGGTTGGCGACGACTTAGCGGTGTCATCATTGGCAAGCCCCAAAACTATTATTGTGTGGCCATTAAAAGAAATAGAGCCAGTTAGGGGGACACGCGAAAAGCTATCCAGTGCAGATATTTTCACATGGCATCAAAGGATATCAATAAATCCCACGGCCCCCGCCGCGGTGGTCTAGTGGCTCGCAGGTCGAACCCGCAGGTTGCGGGTTCGAATCCCGGCTGCGGCGGCTGCATTTCCGATGGAGGCGGAAATGTTGTAGGCCCGTGTGCTCAGATTTGGGTGCACGTTAAAGAACCCCAGGTGGTCGAAATTTCCGGAGCCCTCCACTACGGCGTCTCTCATAATCGTATGGTGGTTTTGAGACGTTAAACCTCACATATCAATCAAATCCCACGGCCTTTGCTCGAGGGGCGCCTAAACTCGGGTGTGAATTCAACCAAGCTCAGTTGATTGGTGAATCGTTCCTTCATAAAAAACAGTTTCCAGCACCTGTTATTGATATTGTGAAGCCAAACTATCTGGAACTAGCTCATCCAGAATTACTTGCTAAGTGCCTCCATAGGAAAAGTCAAAACCATAACGAGACGTTTGATTGTGATATGAAGCGCGTTCCATAACAAACATTGTAAACAGAGTTCGTACAGGTTTCCAAAAGAAAAATGAAGGACTTTTCAACAAATTTAAATAATTTGATTGTAGTTCACGATAAGCTTAATTGCACAAAAGAATAGATGTTCAGTTCACTTATTGCATAGTTTCACTAGACTAGAAGTTCAGAAGCTCAGGGCAGGTCTTTCAGTTTTTTTTTTTCTATTTGAGTCCCAATGCCATCGAGTTCATCAGACTTGACTTATGCAGTCTTTCGCAAGCTATTGGACTTCACTACATGGCTGATGTCCCAAGTCACTTCTGCCTTTTCAGCAAAGCAATCAGCAGAGGCCATTAAATCAGAAACAACTGCTTCAAGTTTCTTTCTCTTCAGCTGCATGCATTCCACTTCCTCCATAATCAGGTGTCTTTTTGTCTGACTTGCATTTGTTGGCACTTTTTCTTATCCAATTCTAAGTGTGCCCCATAGTGCAGCCTCGCTGCGGACACAGCCAATCTGAGCTCTTTTGTTATGGCGAAATTTAAAATGCCACCTGCCCTTTACACTGAATCACATATGACATGCTGCGAAACATACGACAAGCCCTTCGGGTTCTCTACAGAGATTTGGGCGCTTGACGCTAAACCCCCGTTCAACACTTGCTTGTGCATGGCTAAGAACAAGAAGGAGCTTGGTTGTTTTGCACAGCTCTTTATAGGAATGGTGGAAGATCAAGAGTTCGCGAAAGAACTCGTCCAGCCTGCCAACACTCCTCTCAAAGAGGCGAAGCTCATGCTTGAACTCTTCCAGCATTTTGGTGTACTCTGCGATTACACATTTTCGCCAGGCTGTCACTCAGTCTTCCTGTTAAGGTCAAGATGTCTAGCACCTTTCTTAGGCCCACCAGGCACTGATCTGGCTTTGAGCACATAAGCCGGGGGTCTAGAGCAGACAGGTTTCGAACCAAAGACGACTTCAAAAAACTTTGTTCCAGTATTTTCTTGGCCAACGCTACCAAAAATTACTTGCACTCCATTTTGATTTGAGATGCATTCTTTGCACTGGCTTTTGATTCTTTCAGTGCTTGTTCACACTTGGAACCAATATGTACTTTTTTCAAGTGAAATGAGGTTAATCGGGGCTATCAATCTCCACCCTCAGCAGACCACCAACTCCTCCCAATGACGATAACTCTGAGGCTTTCATGAATTTTGAAAGGAGCTTCCGCACAATACTTTCAAGATCTCTCCCAAGAAAGAAGATCATGGGTTTGTCGGATTGAATGTCTTTCAACAATGGCTGAACAATAGATGCAACACTGAGGGCAAAGTTCAGTTTTGCCAGTGTCAAGGATCTAGTAGAGACAGAAGCTATGCATATTTTCACAGGGTGCACACTTCGTACGCTCACCTATTTGCTTCTTGCAGACTCCACATATTTCTTCACATCATTCCAAAGAAGCAAAGCTCTCTCGATCACAATTTTGTTTTCCACCCATCGAAGAAACACAAATGGCAGAGGAATTTTATTCTGAGTAGTCACAGTTGAAAAATCATCCTTCGTGCAGGTAAGTCATGGAAGAGTGCACTCATGCTTGACAGTAGAATGTCGATGCCCTATTTAGAGGCTGCGACGCCTGCTCTGCAGGCGTTATCGACGGTATGAAGGCAACACGTTCCCAAGTCGATACATTGAACTTGTTGGTTTTATTGAAAATGAACTTGCACGTTCCTAAAAACTTAACGTTGACATTCGGCCCATCCGTGGATATCTAACGAATCTTGCCAAGTGGCAAAGGCTCCAAAGTCTTCAGTAGTACCGTATTTACTCGCATAATCCTCGCACTTTTCTTCGCCGGAAAACCGATGCAAAGTTGGGGGGTGCGAGAATTACGCGGGGAAAACTTTGCAGGAAAACGTAGAGAGCGAAAAGGAAAACGAAGTGGCCGCAGTTTGGGATTCTCACACCAGCAACTTACAGCAAGCTTTAAGAAGTACTAATTAGAACTTACCTTACAATAAAAGCAGAGGTTCAATACAAGGCAAGATTTATTTGAGACACAAAAAGTGGAAGCAAAAAGCCGAGAATTAGAATACCATACGCAAAGCTTGTGGGCGTTGCGGGCGTAGCAGTAGCGTTCGTCGCTCAACAGGAGCCCTCAAAAGGTAAGCGTAGGACGTCAGTATTGGGCTGATGGCTATTTAACAGAATCGTCCGCAGTTTCCTTCTGAAGAAATAAAGTTTACCATCAATATCCCAGTTTTAGGCACACGGCGGGCCCAAGCGTCTTGGTGGCTTGCAGCTGCCGTCACCAGTAGCGAACACAAAACTCGTAGGCTTCGAAGGGCCTGCCGGCGACCCTGTTGCCGTTGTTCAGTGCATGATCTATCACTTGCAACTTGAAGCAGCCGTGTAGCTTCAGTATTGCCCCATAACGTGCCAAGATTACCAACACAACATACAAAACACGCCGCAACGCGCACTGGCCACTTGGGCTTGGCTTGGATTGGAGGGAATGTCCATGCAATAGTATGCTTGATGCTTAAGAAATGGCGCCAGATGGTGTGTGCTATCATCATCAGTGTATGGAACGAGCAGACGACATTATTGCAGCAGTTTTCTGGGGTGCGACGATTACTCGAGGGGAAAAAAACAACGTACTTTTTGGGGGCGATGTGGGGGGTGCGAGAATTATGCGAGTGCGAGGATTACGCGAGTAAATACGGTACCTCCTGCATATCGTCTGCTGTGGAGTGCCCTATGAAAGTGGATGTGTAGTGACCACCTTGTGTGCCGGGTCCCAATATCGCACATGCACGTCCATTTGGTTTTCTTGTAGGAAGTCATTCATCGGCTTGTCAAAAAGTACGACGTAATATTCGAACTCCTGTACCTCTTGTCGCAAGCACAAGAAAAATGACCCCAGTCCATGGCACGCATCATACCCACATTTCTATTCGCCGCAAGAAAATGATTTGGCCACCTCACAGTGGGAAACAGCCGCTTGAACAAGTCGCCAGTTTGTGCCGACGATCTGTACGAGTAGTGGGATGTAATTACTTTGAGTGTCCACAAAATTTTGGCATTGGCGACGACCTCGTGCGAATTGCAGGTGCTGCTAAGATCCGTCGCTTGGGATGGAGCCGAGCTAGTGGACCGCTCACTTGAGCTTACTGTCAGGTAGCTCAGCATAGAGTTTCCAGCTGCCATTTCCACAATTTCACTGTGCTTGGTGCTATTGTGTGGCTTTTGATAGCAGATTGACCCACAAAAGCGACGTCAAACCTCTTTTTGC